CCAGGCGTAGGGGCGCGGGGGGCGGCCGACCTGGCGGCCTTCGCCCGCTCCTGCATGCTGCACGGGCTGGGGCACATCTTTGTGCCCGGGGCGCCGGCGCCGTGCCTCCTGCTCTGGGCCAGTGCCTTCCTGGCCTCGCTGGGCGCCTTCCTGCTGCAGGCGGGGGAGCGGGCCCGGCACTACGCCGCGTACCCCCATGTCACCGTGCTGGACGAGGCAGAGAGCTGTGTCCTCGTCTTCCCCACCATCACCCTCTGCAACTGCAACCGCATCCAGCGCTCCCAGCTCACCCCCAACGATCTGTTCTGGCTGGGCAGGGAGCTGCTGGGGGTGGGGAGGGAGGACTTCCCCCGCTACCTGCAGGCGCTGGGGCAGCCCCCCAACCTCGCCGGCTTCTTCCTCAGCAAGAGCTACGACCTGGGCGCCTTCTACCAGCGCGCTGGGCACCCCATCCACAAGATGCTGCTGCACTGTCGCTTCCGCAGCTGGGACTGCGGCCCCAAGAACGTCACTGCCGTGAGTGCCAGTGCCGCCGCCATGGCCACCGCCACAGCCACGGCCAATGGCCACGGCTGGCTCTGCCCCGGGCAGGACCCACAGCAGCCCCATCCCCGGCTAGCTCTGCCCTGGGCAGGGCTTGGGCAGGACCCCCAGGGCTGAGCAGGTTTTGGGGCCATGGGGTGCACAGGCTGTGGGGTGATGGGCTCTGTGCAGGCTGTGGGGCAATGGCGGGGTGCTGGCTGTGGGGCCATGGGGTGCACAGTCTTTGGGGCCATGGGGTCTGTGCAGGCTGTGGGGCAATGGGGTACACAGGCTGTGGAGTGATGGGGGGCACGACGCCTGCCCACTCCACTGTCCCCAAGCCCCAAGGTGCTTGGCAAAGCTCCCACCGCACTGCCCCGGGATGGCTCCTCTTGCCCACCCTGCACCCATGGGGCTGTGGGGAGACGTGGGGCTGCGGGGAAGCGTGGTGGAGATGGGGAGTCATGGGGGGGACATGGGGCTGTGGGGCTGCAGCTGCAGGTCTGTGCTCACTGCGAAGCAGCCGCAGAGGCTGGTGGGGGCTTTCTCCGTGCTGGGGGGCTGCAGGAAGAGGTGGGTCAGCCCCGGGCAGGGGAGGCTGTGGGTGCCTTCCCAGGGGTTGGGATCCCGTGTCCTGCCTGGCCAGGGCTGGGGAGGGACCAACCCTCTGCCGTTGAGGCCTGGCAGGGCAGGACACGGGGCAGGACACAGGGCAGGGGTCCCGCAGGGCTGTTGGGGCGCCTGGGCTGTTGGGACCTGGCAGAACCAAGGACACCACGCTGGGGCAGGGACAGCAGCAGCCACCCCATGGCCCCATCCGCAGCCCCACACTGGTCCCAAAGGGAAAGGGATGGATGCACCAGCCCCTTCCCTTGTGCATGGGCTGATGGGGCGCTGGGATCCTGCACGGGGTCCTGTGGGACACTGGGATCCTTCACTGGGGCTGTGCAGGGTCCCCAGATGCTGCCCCCCCCAGCCCTGCTCAGTGGGTGCAGGGCAGGCAGGGGCTCAGCTCCCATCCCCCAGTCCCCCAAATGCCGCCATCCGGCGGGCGGCCCCATGGCGGGCGCTGAGGGTCCTGCCCTGTCCCCACAGATCTTCACCCGCCTCGGCAAGTGCTACACCTTCAACTCGGGGGGGCCAGGCCGGGAGGTGCTGACCACGCTGCAGGGCGGCGCGGGGAATGGCCTGGAGCTGATGCTCAATGTCCAGCAGGAGGAATACCTGCCCGTCTGGGGGGACACGGGTGAGGGCCCCCCCACAGCCCTGCTCATGGCACGGCTGCTGCCCCGCGCCCCCGGCGCCCTCCCTGCCTTGCAGACGAGACCTCCTACGAGGCAGGGGTGAAGGTGCAGATCCACAGCCAGGAGGAGCCCCCCTTCATCGACCAGCTGGGTTTTGGTGTGGCACCCGGCTTCCAGACCTTCGTGTCCTGCCAGCAGCAGCGGGTATCCAGCCACAATGCCCGAGCAGTGCGTGGAAGGGTCTGCAGGGGTGCAGCCCCCCCCACCCCCACCCCACCCGGGGCTCCTCGGGCAGTCCCGGCACAGCCGCAGCTGTCCCCACAGGGAGGTCCCGTGTCGAGCTGTGCAACACAGCAGGTACCGCACCATCGGTACAGCAGCTCTGCCCCTGCAATGGCCGGGAGCACCGCGGCATGGTGTGGGGCAGCCCCACGCCAGGACCACTCGGTCCCACCGCAGGCACTGGCTCCCGGCAGCGACCCCCCCAGCCTCCTGCCGAACAGACCGTCGGCAGGGGCGGCATCCAGCTTGCACAGCCAGACACCTAAATTTAGGTGTCTTGAGTGGGTGTCTCCATGTGCGCTGGCACTCACGGCGCGGGTGGCAGGGAGCGCAGTGGCAGCGGGAGCGTGGCCCTCAGCACCCATGGGTGCCTGGCCGGGCCGCACTGCTCCCTCGCCAAGCACGCTCCCCGCACTGGCCATGGCACGACCTCGCACTGCCCATCTGGGTGCTGCCCACTGCAGGAAGCGTGGGGGTCCGTGCTGACCCCCCCCCTCCGTCTGGCTTCCATGTGCTCTGGGCTGGTGCCGCATGCTGGTCCTTGCCTGGCCCATTCCCTCCCACTGCTGCACCGGCTGTGGGTGATGCTGGCCCCAACGGTGATGCTGCGCCCGTCCTCATGCCCGGTGCCCGGTGGAGGGGCAGGGGTGGGAGCGGGGGTCTCCAGGGTGGCATGACCCCCGCAGCACCAGCTGCATGGGACGAGCTCTGCCTGAGGGACAGGGCACCACGGTGGGCTGGGGATGCTGGGGATACCGTGTTTTCCTTAGCCTGCGGCCGGCAGCTGGTGTACCTGCCCCCACCCTGGGGGGACTGCAAGGCCACCCCCATCGAGTCCGACTTCTTCACCAACTACAGCATCACCGCCTGCCGCCTGGACTGCGAGACCCGCTACCTGGCCGAGCACTGCAACTGCCGCATGGTGCACATGCCAGGTGAGAGGGGGACATGGGGGGGCAGCTGCTGTGGGGCTGGGGCGGTGGGAAGACCCTCCTGCCCCTGCGACTGCTGCCTCTGCTGCCCCACAGGCAATGCC